TACAACCAAAAAAAGATTCTGTATTTCCATAAGTGGTGTAAAACTATGGAATAATTTAAATGTGGACATAAAAAATAGTACTAGAATTGATGAGTTTAAACATAAATATAAAGGTATGTGTCAATCAAGATATATGCAAGAACAGGCTCAATGATTAATCAGATGGAACATTGTGGGTGAAGTGAGCCACAACTTGCTGTGCCGGCAGTCAGTGGTTTCACCCACTGCGCCATCGACACGATACATAAGGCCACATTCATAGGAAGCACCAGAGGTTTGTGCTGCTTTTGGATGTTGTACTGAAAGAAACTATTGTTGATTCTCCGACAGTCTACAAAAGCCTGAGATTGAAGGTCATGACTAAGACTAAGAACCTCAGTGTCAGTGGAATGTCTTCTGAAACCAGCAAGCTGAGCAATAAGCTCATAGAGGTGGAGGAGGCAACACAGAGAAAGGTGTGATGAACAGACAGACATAGATATTGGAAAGTTCATTCTTTATTGATTCTTTTAACATAGTTACACACGTCCATAGTTACATCCACATACATGCACAAATGCTCTGTGGGTCCTTCGGCCCTAAATGCTGTCTGCCTAGTGAGGTACATCATGAAAGCCACGGCTGGGGGAGCCAGGACACCAGGGTTAGGGGGAGATAGCATCCTCCCCACAAGATTGAAGAAGGTTGAAGAAGACACTGTCTAGGACTAAGATAAATTTAGACGCCATGGCTTCGTGATGGTGTCCTCCTGTAACCAGCAAGCAGGAAACATGGTAGAGGAGAGAAAGGAGTGGGTTATCTGTGGTAGAGGTAAGGAAGGAGGTTAGAGAGGACAAAGATAGGAGATCTGGTAGGAGGTTAGAGAACATACCAGATCCCCTGCTTTTTAAAAAAAAATATATCTTTTGTTTTATCCACTGACAGACTTCCTAGTTTGATGGTATTTTAAGACAGCAGCTGTAAGGTGTTCATATTAACATCTGTATTAGTGCTTTCACTCTGCATTTGTATGCACCACGTTTGTACAAAGGGTCAGAATGAACTGTAATGTAACAGTTTCACTTACTGTATGATAATGAAGCTTTAGTAAAAACTTCCAGTGTTCTATCTGCAATGTTTATGGCAAACACTGTCATAACATAGTGATTGACCTTCATCGCTCTCAGGTGAAACACAGCAAGTTGATAGTACAGCTGGCAAATAGAATTATCTTTTAATTCACTGTGGATAAACGTGTAAGCAACTTTGAGTAGCCGATTGAGTTAACCCTAAATGTCTTGTGACACATCCTGATCCTTCAAATGGCTAAAAACCAGGCATCTACGGCTCTGGGGTTCTTCCTTGAACCTGCAAGGAAACCAGACTTTCCATCCAGGTACACAGTCTTGTTTTGCTTTTGATATAAACATTTAATTCTTCTGTGCACTTAAAATGACTGAAAATCCACATGTCTGAAAAGCAGGAGTAACTACTATGAAGCCTAATTCTCAAAACTTGTAGAATATTTGTATAATACCTAAAACACAGCGCATCTTTTTGTCACAAATCCTGATCCTCCAAATGGCCAAAAACAAGGCATCCATGGCTCTGAGGTTTCTCCTTGAAACTGCAAAGAAACCTGACGTTCCATCCAGGTACTCCATGCAGTCTCGTTTTGATGTCAGTGGTGTTAACCACTAAGCTATCTGCTGTCTGTATAGAAACATTTCTTTTACTGGTTTCTGTTTCTCACATACACTATGAGTTAAACACCACTACTCACTAAACTGTAATGAAAACTCTCAAAACATGGATCACAATGTAATTGCACACATTTCATTCCTTAGGCCTTATAGTAGTATGTCTGCACATCTTAATTTGATTGCATGCTTCAGTGGAATGCCCTCCCTGCTTTTTTTTCCTCTTACAGAACAAATAAAAGTCTATTTTGTTCCCCCCTACACCAGCCAGACTGCTAGAGCCACAGCTGTGGAAAATGGGATGACTCCCTCATGAAGACATTGAGGTAAGAGACTGTTTAATGACACTTTTTGTAAAAACAACTTGTGGCTTAATCCCAGAAAATATTTCAAGGTGTTTTCCATGTTTATTTATGAATATTTTCATTTCAGGGGGACCATTTTCCCAGATGTGCATCATGCTGGAGTACAGTGAAGAACCAAGAGACCTGAACATGACAGATTTATAGTTGTAATAGTTTTATTGAAGAAAAACAAATTAAAAACTGCCTGGAACAAGGCCAGAAATGTTGTAAACAGGGCTTGAAAAACCTTTTTTTAAATGCTGCTGAAGTTTGAAAAATTGTCACTGCATGTGCCTGCACCACAGTTATGAAGTCTTCTCCAGTCATGTAACTCCAAGAGAACTCACATGACTGGAGACGTCTTCATAACTGTGGTCCAGGCACATGCAGTGCAACAGCATGGAGGAAAATGTGAGGTACTCTGCCTTGATGGCCCCACCGGTAGGGATTTCCCATCTTAGCCAAAGCTTCAGCAGCTAGCTGAGCTGGATGGAGTGGTTGCAAAAAAAAAAAAGAAAAAAGTTCTTGTAAAACTTTGATTTTCAATAATAAACAAACTTGCCTGTCTCTATGCATGTCCTCAAGAATGCTGCTGATGGTCTGGCCACAGAATGACGTCTGGTCAAGGATTGCCTAAGAGGAAAATGGAAAGAGCTTGATTTAAAGCAAGATGGTGTTCTATAATTTCAACCAATCATGTTTTGGTTTTGATAGGTTTGCTTCATTTTGAACAAAAGGCTTTTAGTGGGCACATTATTTGTACCCGGGCAGTGAACATCCTTTCATATACATTATATAGTGCCTTGCAAAAGTATTCATACCCCTTGAATTTTTCCACATTTTGTCACATTACAACCACAAACCTAAATGTATTTTATTGGAATTTTATGTGATAGACCAACACAAAGTATGGCATAATTGTGAAGTGGAAGGAAAATGATACATGATGTTCAAGATGTTTTACAAATAAAAATCTGAAAAGAGTGGTGTGCATATGTATTCAGCCCCCTTTACTTTCATATTCCTAAATAAAATCCAGTGCAACCAGTGTGTAATTCAATCTCAGTATAAATACAGCTGTTTTGTGAACATGTGGAAGAAGGTGATCTGGTCAGATGAGACCAAAATTGAACTTTTTGGTCTACATGCAAAATGCTATGTGTGGCAGAAACCTAACACTGCACATCAACCTGAATACACCATCCCCACTGTGAAACATGGTGGTGGCGGCATCATGCTGTGGGGATGCTTTTCTTCAGCAGGGACAGGGAAGCTGGTCAGAGTTGATGGAAAGAGGGATGGAGCTAAATACAGAGAAATCCTGGAAGAAAACCTGTTAGAAGCTGGAAAAGACTTGGGACTGGGGTGGAGGTTCACCTTCCAGCAGGACAATGACCCTAAACATACAGCTAGAGCTACAATGGTATAGATCAAAGCATATTCAAGTGTTAGAATGGCCCAGTCAAAATCCAGACCTAAATCCTATTGAGAATCTGTGGCAAGACTTGAAAATTGCTGTTCACAGATGCTCTTCATCCAATCAGACTGAACTGGAGCTACTTTTCAAAAAAGAATGGGCAAACATTGCAGTCTCTAGATGTGCAAAGCTGGTCGAGACATACCCCAAAAGACTTGCAGCTGTAATTGCAGCGAAAGGTGCTTCAAATGGCTAACGCACTAAATAAATACTTAACACTGCACATTACACTTTACTGTGAACACGTACTGCTACCCCACCTCTCTAGCAGAGAAACACATGCCTCTGTTCCTTTTAAAAAGCCTACCTGCATGTATATACCTGACTGAGCCACGTGAGAACCAGCTGCCATCTGATTGGCCAGTTTGACTCTGCTCTGTGATTGGATTGTCATTGTGCAATCAGATTCAACTGTTCAACTTGAGAGTTGTATACCTGCAATCATTTTATAAATTTTACTCACATTCAAAAATGTTTTTACAATTACAAATCTTTCCTACACATGCTCAAAACGTTTGTACAAATAAATATTTTATACACATATATAAAATGCTTTTACAATTACCAAGCTTTTCTACATGTATTCAAAATGTTTTTATAAGATCAAAATCTCTGTGACTATGAGCTCTTATGGGATATTTTATCTTGATGACAGTGACTTTTACCAGCAAAGCCTGTACTGGCTGGTTTATTGGGCTAACATAAACTGACAGAACACCTGGATGGAGATGCTGTGTAAAGATGGATTACATGCGCTAACACCTGGTGCACTGTGATTATGTGTGGGCTGTGGGGGGTTGGGGGGTGGCGTGGGGTCTAATTTCAAAACACCACCTGAGCCCTTATCCCTCAGTGCAGGCTGATTCCTCATGGTATGCTCAAACACTTTGAGTTAGATATAAGGTAATCCATCAAGTAGGACTATAGTCTGAATATCACCCCCCTTGTCTAGCACTGAGCTGGGAACCTTTTTTCTACATGATAAATTATTAAACCGAGTCTCAAAACAAGATTTTTGTCCAATCATACCTCATTTCATTCAAATAATGACAAACTAAATAGTTTTTTTTTTTAAAGATAATTTATATCTTTATTTAATATGACAACAACACCTAATACCTAAGTCCACTCAGTGACTAAAGATTTGTACAATTTGAACAATTTATGCAAGAAAAAACAGAGAAACAAAAATAGAACTCTTTCAATCGTAATTAAATAGGAAATTGTTCCTTCTTGGTGAACTCAATTTCTTTTTTTCTTTCCTGAAAACCTGAACATTAGTGTTGCGATGATGCTTGAGTGTAAGGGAATGGATGATTAAGTGAAAGGGTGGCTTGTGTTTATGTGCGTTGATATGTATCATATCTAGGGAAATGCTTATTTAGATTTTGGGTGGGTGCTGATAAATGTCTGATTTAAGATGAAACATTAATGTAAAACCTTGGCCCTGGTAGGTAGAATTACATCTATTTGATTTTCTTCATATAGTGGTAAACTGTCACACAGTTGACAAATTGGTTCAACACATTTCTATGGAATGTAAAAAAAAAAAACAAACAAACCACTTTTTGCACTTTCTCTTTACCCCCATATGTTAATATTTTACCTTCATTTTACAATTACAAGCCTCACTATTTTCTGAACTGCTGCACTGCAGTGCTCAGTTCAACGTATAATAATGTAATGAAGGACATTATTCCCTTGTGATGTTCAGGCTAATGTTGATGCAAACACAAAGCGTGCTGTAGCTGCTTCACAGTAAATGGCTTTTTACGTTCTTTCGATTTTCTTCATTTCAATTTTGGCTGCATTTTTATTCCCACTGATTCGGGTGTCTAGCAGATAAAGTGTAAATCCATGTGATTTAAACAAGACAAAAATACTGAAGTAACGGGGCACTGCTGGGAGAATGTTAGTTAACACTGTCAGGAGAGCAGATAGAAGAAAGGGCCCTCTTTGTCAAATAAAGGTAATAACAATGACTTAGGGGGAAACTACAGCAAAAGCCAAATAGGTTTAGCTATATGCCAATATTATATAATGTAGGCTATATAACAGCAATATTAACTTACTGCAATACTAACTGCTATAACTGTGGCTAGCTATCTTGTAGCTACTTTGGTAATGACGGCCATGATGACAGAGAAATGAAGCCTGATTTGCATCTTACTGGTTGTTATTGGCTCTATAATACTGAGAATGTCTATTGTCAATTAACGTCTGTTGGAGGGATATGGCAGAAATGTCAGATGGAATGATTATCAAAGTTTCTTTTAACCTCAGTGTCTGGATTGATAATGGGTTAAGTCTGACATATTGCTGATAATTTAACTCTCTGACTAGTTCCAGTGGCATGGTCTTTGTCGGCACATCGGTGGAGTCAGGGAGCCTGTCGCAAACTCAGATATAAGATTGATTTCACTGCTAATTAATACTAGAAGAGTAGCCATTTTAGAAGACCCTCCACCCATTTAGGACTGAACAACTGTCAAAGCAATCCTTCTTGTGGGCAGGACCCAAAAGGCTAGAAGCAGTGGTGCAGCATCAATGCAGTGAGGGTGTAAAGAGTTAAACTTCTATAATGGCTGTATTGGCATTAGGTGTCTGTTGCTGACAAATTACTTGTACATGTAACACAACAGGCTAACAAGAATTACTCTGATTATTTAGAGATCTGTGCCTGGTGGGGAAACATCTTCATCCTGTGTTCCATTGGGAAGGTTGGCTGGTGGAATTAGTATAGCTGTTGGGGCCTGCTGCCTGGCTCACTTGCGGGGCTGATGGATGTGCTGGTTGATGTGCTGGGCAGGGGGCAGCTTAGGGACACAAGGCTGAGGCTTCTGGTGGGCCACCTGGGCAGCTGCTGGGGTGAAGTCCTTATCACCCTAAACAGAACAAAGTCAGTCAACAGGACAGTAAGGGAAAAGAACGAACTTTTTAAATGTATTTTTACCTTTACTTACCAGCTTTCTTTTCTTTCTTCTGTTTTTTTTGTCCTCACCCTAATTTACCATTTTTATGCTACACCTTTCTCTCTTACCGTCTTCATACCAATCCCATTTATCAGAGAAACGTTAGTTCAGTTGGAGAAATGGAAATGATGGCACTGCATACTCACATATCTTTAGGTGTGAAAGGGAGGTTTAACATTCAGTGTGAGCTTGGTTAAAGCTGGGAATCCAGTAGCTTAATAATAATAAGTCTCCAGTATAAATGGCATTTTATTGTTTGATTCAATCACAGATTTGTTTTATGGTTATGTTAAAAAAGTATTTTACAAACTCACTTCAACATATATATATATATTTTAAAATTCATCTCTGTCCATCCATCTGTTTTGCTCCATCTGACACCCCTGCTACTATTCTCTCCATTCTCTTTCCCAGTCTGTCTTTTTCACTTTTCTCTCATTTCATCTCAGCCCTGTGCCTCCACCTCTCCCCATAGAGCTCATGTTCCAGATATAAACTACCTCATGATTCTGTGTATGTGTGAGTCTGTGAATGTGTGTGCGCTTTACCTTTGTAACCACTCCAGACACAATCACAGGGACCTTTGGTGGACTAAAAAGAAGAAAGAGAGACAAAGTAAATACAAATTCTCTGTAGTTCATAGCAATGTGGAATGCAGTAAACAGTGTGCACCTTGCGCTTTAATCTGTGGTGATTGTGTGTAATTTAATCATAAAGCATGCAGGTTGTGTAGGCTACACCTCACTGACATAATTTATAAAAGTTTGCCTATTTGGCCAAAACCTCCAAAAAAGAAAAACACTATGCCAAAATACAATCATCCCAGGTTGCCAAACACATAGCACCCACAGTCTTGCTCTCACTGGCACAAACTGAATGGACCTGCCAGGAGCTTAAATAGCTCCCATTCATCCTGGCCCAGCACTGGGGCTCACAGCTTCTGGATGGAAAGCAGGGAAGCAGAAGAGCAGAAGAATGAGGGAAATTGGAGAAAGATGGAGGTATAAGAGGAAAGTAATAAAGGAGGAGGATATTAAAGAAAAGGTCTGAGGAGAAAAGAAGAAAAAGAGGATGAAAGAAGAGGGTTGAGGATTAAAGGCAGGTCTGGGATGAGAGAGGAGGGAAAGGAATAGCAAGGGGAGGTGAGGGCGCAGGAGGACAGAGGATGAAATACCTGCATAATGATACTGTTAGAAGAACGCTCCCACAGACACAGGAAAGGGGAAGGGACGCAGGCAGAGACAAACATGGAGCAGGAGAAATGCGGAACCTGAGGTAAGTATCAACCTTGGCATGACAAATGAGCGCCGTCAAATTTTACGGCGTCACCCCCAGCAAAAGTTGTGGTAGCTACCTTCAAAACGTTACTCAAACACATTAGCTACAGTAGCAAGCATGTCAACTTATTAATCAAAATATTTTGAAGAGAGGATACATTTCCTATATAGACACATACTTACTTTTAAGTATTTTACGATCCATGCACAAGTGTTTAATCATGGATACTCAACACATCTGGCTAAACTCCATCTCTGCAATCAACATCTTGGCACTGAACAGTCTCCTGCTGCTTATCCTAATGAGAATATTTACACCTCGCCAATAAATTGTTTGAATATGCTGAATTTCACTGATTATTCCTCACTAGCCTCTTGTCAAAATGTAGGGTTGGCGATTAGCAATTCAATTAACTAAAATATAACATTAGCACAGCAAGCATTCCTCCTTCAAATTAATTCTATGCTTAGCTGAAAAACAAAACAAAACAAGTGTGAAAAGGTAACAGGAGATTCATTATGAATGTTTGTGTGCAAGAACCCATCGGCTAAACTTTCATCTTAAAACACATAAAGCACTGCATAAAAGAAGAATCTGCTTTCATTGCACACAAGATAGTTAACTGAACATTTTCCTCATTTATTCTAAAAAGCCCATCAAAAAAAAAAAAAAGCTTAACAGCATTTAGCTGCTACTGTTGGATGAAAACAGCCCCACATTCTGAATATTTATTTACAGTATATTTGTGTTTTACACCCTGTTGTACATATGTACAGGAGCTGGTTCAGTTTTAATTTCAACTGATGCTACAGTGAGGTGTGACACAGTGGGCTGGAGGTAAACAGGCACATTCAGTTGGATATGTTTTCATATACTGAGCCATCATGGGCTGTCATCCACCTCATGCTGGGCTGTTACATGTCTGTTCTATTGAATGTTTGTCTGCATTGTGCAATCTGAAAAAAGAAAACCTCTGAAATATTAAAAACAGACTCCAAGTGGAAGGGATGTATTAAAACAAACAAGGATGAAGAAACAGTTTGTTTTGCATCTGAAGCATGCTAACAACAAATTCTGCCTGTCATTACAACATTTGGGCATTAAGGCCAGGGAGACAGATAAGACATGTCTAGACAGACATCAGTGAGGGGGGTAAGCCTATCAGAGACACAGACAGCAAAAATAGTAAAATAAACTTTTTCTAAGTCAGACAGAAAGCGAAAGGAGAGTGTAAGCTTTTCACCTAACTAGCAGTTAAATACATAGATACCGTATTGAGACAGACACATAGACTTTATTAATGCCTGATAATAAAGGAAAATTTCTCAGTTTAAGACTTTTTAATCATGGATTAGCCCTGACACCTTAATCTAAATACAACACAAAAGAAAAAACACTAAAATAACAAAAAGCTACAGTCACTTTTTCCATTTATTTTATCTGTATGGCGAAATGGAAGGAAGATAAGCCCAGAAGTGACACAGATGTCTGCTGTGGTCTGGTGACACTGGGAGGAGGGAGGGAGGCTATGTACAGGCATAGAGAGCCTGCAGGAGGCAGCAACGATCTGTAAGCAATCCTGGAGGGGAGTCGCATTGTGCCAGGAGAGGAGCAGAGTTAGAGTACCGGGGCAGGAGAACGAGGAAGAAAGAGACAGAGAGAGATACACTGCAAATCTGAACTAATAACTACAACAATGAAATGTGCATTAATGCACTTGTATTGCACCGTCTCCTCCGCGTTTAGCGTTAAAACCACCACTACCCCACCCATCTCTCTCTGCTTCATCAGAGCAGGAAGTTTGTTGCCGTGGGCGAGGTGGTGGTTGCCATAGAAACTGATGCCTGTTGCCCGTCTCCCCTTGTCTTCTCTCCTCTCAACTTTTCACCATGAGCTGTCAGCTTACTGCGCACACAGCACCGCCTGCTCTTTTCCTGAGCCTCTGAAACATATCCCTGTCTCGTTTAATATGTATATAAACTATGCAGGAGTCGTGACAGGCCTATAATCACCTTGCATGTAGTTTTAACAAACTTATCTGTCAATCGCATCCCATGTACAAACAGCTCATAAACCATTTATTCATGTTAATAAGATGCTGATTGAGTCAACATTTGGTCGAGTCATCTGTTCAGCTCCTTTGCCTCATCTCCCCCTCTCCCGCTTCTCTAACTCTCATGGCAACATCACAGTTTTACCCAGAAGAAGAAATACTTTACCCAAGTGTTCAGGAGATTTGTTCCTGACACATTTAAGAAACACATTGACCTGACACTTATTGGGCTGGGTTACCAGTTTACTTTGTCTTAAGCTTCCCCGTCTTGCCTGTATCTCACCCCTAAGTAATCCCTTTCCTCTTTCATATCTTTATATCACCATGGCACCCCTCGCTCCCCGATACCATAGTAATCTTCCCCTCTCCTCCTCACCATCGTCCCGGCCACCCATTTCTCCCTCTTTGACCCATCTGTCCATCTCAAATAGATTGGATACGGCAGGTGTTCCCCTGACTACAACGCTCCACTGGCTGCTACTAATGCAAAATTTACCCAGTAGCCACCTGCTACGTGTCCAACAGCATGACACAGGGAGGGACAGAGAGAGTGTGTGTGTGAGTGAGAGTGTCGCTGATGGAGCGCACTGACAAGTCATTTTCAGTTCAAATCTAAACATTTCACTAATGAACATGCATTTACAAAGATCAAGAGGAGTTTATCAAGCTACAGGCTGAATTCAAAAGATTTTTTTCCCTCTGAATAAAAAGCACTATTTGAGTAATTTATCTTCACTGCCTGAGTTAAGATTCCTCTTCTCTGGCTGCAACCTAAAAGGAAATAATTGGAAGAATAAATACTCAGGAAACTATTAAACCAGCACAGCTCTGGTGAGACAAGTTTCAGTTTACACACGAGCAAAGAACCAGAAATATTTCCCTCCGCTGGCTCCTCTACCAACTTATTATAACATATTCATCATTTGTTCAAACGCAACATAATGCAAGTAATGCAGGAAATAATACTCTCATAAAAACAGTAAGGAGGCGTTTATCAGAAATGTGATTGCTGATTCATGATGCTTCTGCCCTTTGGATATATTCCCTTCATTAATGATTCCAAGTTTGTTTTATTACTGAACAAATCATGAAGTATTCAGTTCATTTAGAGCTAAAATGAGTCCTTTAATTGACTGACAGGAAATGAATTGGTAGTTACTGATTATTCATTTAAATAATTTTACAAAACAAACATATCGTCCATTCTTCAGTCCCAGTTTCTTACATCTGAGTATTTACTGCTTTTGTCTTTTAAAGAAACTGAACATATTTAGGTTTTGGACTGTAAAGACATTTTAAGATGTGACATTGGAATCTAGGAACTTGTGATGTGCATTTTTTGACAAGAAATTATTTCTTGACGACTCCATATCCTCTGATGCAACATAATAAAATGGGGAAGTTCAGTATTATCTATAAGTGAATGAGATTCTATGAAGTGTTCACTTTCTCAAACAGGCCTTTACCCTTGAAATTATAAGCCAAACGTGCATGGTGTTCTTGTATTTCTGTTACCAACTGCAAGCTAGATACTACTCCTGCTACAACTGCTATTCTGCACGACAGCAAGTGAGGTGAATGAGGAACATGCAATCCATAATTTTGTGTGCATATTTAACCCTCTATTGTGCACATCATGAAGGCTGTTCCTGCAACTTCATCATCCATTTTGCAGGTGTCTTCTCTCTGCATGCTCACTGTCCTTCGATTCTCCAGCTGCTTCTCCATCCTCACTGCCACTTGACTCTCCTGACACTGTCCCCTCCACCTCATCAACAAATCCTAGCTCATCCTCACTGTCTCCAACTGCAACAGCTACATGCAACTTTTTTTTGTATTGTAAAAGCAGCATTTTCTGAACAAAAGTTAATATCGTAGTTATACTGTTGCATCACGGAATTGACGCCAATGCATCCTTATCGCTAAATACTGAAGATGCATACAGAAAGAAATAAGGAATAAATACAATTTGTACATGGGCAAAAAAATACATTTATCTAACATATTCAATAACTCATTACTGATTATGGCTGCAGTAAGGACTTACACTATACAGTAATTCATGTCACTATCACACAATGTAGGAATAAACTTATTTAAGCATTATTTTTAAGAATTACAAGTTAATACAATGTTTTGGGAGAGTTAAAATGAAAACCTGTCTTTTTGTCACAGTTCAAGAAGAGCACAGGTGTCCCCATGCTACATCGTGTGCCAAAAGGAATGGTCACCTAAAGGTTGTGTGACTCAAGGCAAGCATGTCACAGAATTTACGAATGTCAAGAATGTCACAGATTAATTAAATCCCCTCCCACCATTACTAGATCAACCTGTGAAACACACACTGTACATTGCAGAAAAAGGTTTGTTGCCTAGAGGCAACTTCGTGCAATAGAGGGATCAAGTACGTGCACAGAAAATTTCTTGACAGTTGGCAATGTTCTTGATCCCTGTTCATTGCTGTGCAATGTGTTGTGTGTCACTTCTCATTTATTACCTCTCATTCTCTCTCACACACATGCATTTTTTTGTAATTGTGAGGTGACTCATTGGCATAATGCTTTCCCTAACCCCTTAGGCTACTGTACCCTTAACCATCACATCTAAATACCTAACCCCAGCTCTTAACCTAACACCTAACCTGAACAACCAAGTCTTAACCCTCAAACAACCCTCTGAAGTCATGAGGACCAACACATCCTCACAAGATGGCACTGAAGTAATACTTGTTTCAAGTATAGAGAGACCTGTACACACACACACACACACACACACTGAATTACATAAAAGATAAGAAACAATTTGCACTATCTAATCACAGAACAGTGACCCCACTAAGCAATGCATTCCAGCAGAAAAAGCCAAACACGCTTATATGGAAATTATTGTCACTGGGAAACAGAGCGCACATGCAGATAAAGACTGCTTATAGCAAGCAACAGTGACTGTTGAATGGCTGTTCAAGTTAGGCCTAATGCTGTAATTATGCAGTAATTATGTTGTTTACTGAATTAGCTCACAAAAGTACACTACAAACCTGATGCAAAACGTTCTATAGTAGCACCTTATAGGAAAGTGAAACCAGCTAAATTGTTTAGTTGACAATTTGCAGGGTGCATATTTGTGTGTGGGTGTCATTAAAACTTACAAACAATCACTGAGTCGTTTGTACATTGCACAGATGGCCTCTACATCTAACGTTGTATGCTTACTTATAAATAGACAGTGTCATTTCTGCGCTAAATGCATTTAACTGTTTGTGTTTCTTTATTGTATGCAGACAGATTATGAGACAATGGGCCCCCGGGCTTTCTCCTACACAATCAAGACATGTTGTGTCAAAGAAACATAAAATGGCTACAAACGATGTGGCTGTGTCATTTCTCATCAGTTTGCATCTCTCTGTAATCGCCTTGTGTCACTTCGTAAATGTTTTGTGTCTCTCTCTGCAGTCATTTTATCTCCATTTGTAGTCGATTTACATCTCCTTGTGATTAATATGTGTCCCTCTGCAGTCGCTTGATGGATATTGCACCAAAAAATCTTAATACTTCTGTCACTTTCAGTTCAGTAGCCTGATGGCTGTGTGGGTGTGTTACCTTTCGCTGATGTACTCCTCCTGGTCATCCGTTTGAGGTGGTTCTGGTGCAGGAGCTGTTTGGTGCTTCTGCACTATCCTCATACCTCCTGCCTTTACTGCAACATACACACACGAAGAGGGACACACACAAACACATCCACACTGATGAACTGAGACAATTAGCTCACTAGCTCATAAATGATCAATGTAACAGTGACAGTTGGAAAATTTAAAATTTCCAGTTATTGACATAAACCACAAATTAAGGCAAATTATAGTCGGATAGTTTAGTAAAAACAATAATTTGTACTTTACTTATATTGTAATTAGGGACTTGAACATTATAATTGAAGGAAGAAGATTTTACAATTCTATTTGAGGACACAGATCTACTTGAACTTTGAAGCTGCACAGCAGGCTGGCATAGTGACTCTCTCCCTCAATCGTAACACTGATGCCTAACACCTAACCTTTGACCTCACTGGCCAGAGACTGATTATAGAAGAAGGCAAATGCTCTTCACAGCCTCAAACTGCTGCATTAACATATCTGCGTGTTGGTTAAAGATTGACACAGTGCAGTCTGTATGTGCTGTGGACCTCCCACAGGTTGGGTGTAGCTGCTGAGGCCCGGTGCCCTGCCACACTGCTCATGTCCACGTACACCTTATCTGTTTGTCTCCAGCTACGTGCACATGACTGGAGCGTATGGCCTCCACGTCAACGCTATTCAGCAATCATGACATAGTAACCAAAACGTTTACATTAAACGATTACCCATCGCTACCAGATTTGACGCTGTTGCAGGATCTCACGCCAATCAGGAAGTAAGGAAATGTGCAAAATACAGAAATGTGGCAGGTTGCACTACAAACAATCTTAGTCACTAAACCGTTATGTCGTTGCATCTACCATTTTATATGAACGCGCCATCATGATCGTGCAGTTTTTGGGGTGAAATACTGCAGAAACAATGGCCTTGATGTTTATAGGAAGCATTCAGAAACAATGCAACAACCCCATGAGCTTTACCTGCAGGAAGATGACCTCCTTTGGTTTCGACTCGCTCCTTCGGCGGCGATGACATGTCTGCTCCGATCTGCAGTCACCAGCGAGAAGCAACTACGGCGTCTAACAATGAACTCCTACTCTATTCTGCCAGAAATTGTGGGCTACACTTTAGTCTGAATCGTCAACGTGGCTTTTTCCTGAGCAGTGTTTGGAAACGACACGTGATGATGTCACGCGGGACCTCTCTGGATCTGAGAGACGTAAGGAGCGCGCTGACGTAGGTCGTAGCCAAGGGTTAAACAACTTGTATGTGTACTATACAAACTACATCAAGTGTGAGAATTGCTATAGTTGAATTATTTATCTATGTTTTACTTAAAATATTGTTAAAAATAACTTGAACAACATACACCAAAAGCCTATAAAATTGGATTGGAAGTTGGATTTGAGGTTTTTTGACCTGCAGGCTAGGCCTAAATGGTATTATTGTAATATATTAATATTATATTTATTGTGAGTAAATTATCCCACTTGATCTCCTGTACTCGAAACCTTTGGAAGTAGAATGTAAAAGCGACTTTAAACCTTCGCAGCTCCACCTTAAAGGCAGCTCAACCAGCCTGTAGAGGGCGCTGTTCAGTGGCCTTGAAAATATATACAGTAGGTCTACAACATAAGCAAGAATGAATAAAATCCGCATACGGCAACTTTGACTTTTCAGTGAAATATTCTAATTAATATTTGAATCAATTTATCACTTTGACCTTAATACCCCTGGCTGCAGTGCCATGACACCAGATAACTATTTGTGCTCATTTTCTGTCATTCTACTTCCTCGTGAAAACAATACTCATATACTTTATGACAGGGAACATCACAAAGTACCATAATCCTGAATATTAGGAATATTCATTGTGTTTTTTTATTAAAGCCCTCTGAGTGTGGTACAGTGATTAAAAAAGAAGGCAGTGTAGCTTCATAGCATACAAAAACAATTTACCAGAGCCTAGCTCCTATTTGGAAAGTCATAAATCATAAATGCATGTGTGGGCAACAAATCACTACCATATACAACAGAGGAAGGACTGCTCATTAAGAACCTGTGTGTACAGAGGAGCTGTTAACAATGCATCAGGAAGTGCTTTGTTATGGGAAATGACACATTTAAAGACTTAACTGATTTCTTAAGCTAAATATGTAAATGCTACTTTTGGGAATAAATATCACTGCCCTCCAACTAATAAACCATTTAAACATTACTAATAGCAGAAACTACAAAAGTTGGCAGACAAACCTCAGTGACCATAACCTTTGCGTCTTTGCACAGGTCCACAGTGGTTCATTAACTGACTGACATGACACCGTCTGGGCAGAGCTGAGAAATGCAGGAAAAGCCTAGAGGTGTTACAGGACATCAAGAGGAAAGGAAAAAAAAGGAACTTAATAATATTTTATTTCTATTCATACAGTAGAAGACTGAGATGCCCAGAATACTGCAATGTATGGCCTTAGTGTGTCTATGTAGGATGCTATGTTGTGCAATTATGGTGGACCACAAAAAATGCACCATAACAGCACACCATGCATTTTCATTAGTACTGGAATGTAAGTGTTAAGTTAGAGGAGGCTACAGTATGTTAACTGCATGGATAAGCAAAACAATGGAAACTCATGGGTTGGCAGCAAACCTCTTAGCCTGCTGATGGGCACTGGGTTTTGGAGTGGCAGTGGAGAGGTGGTCCTAGCATCAGTTTGTCTTCAGAGTGCAACAGTCAGTTGCCAGGTCATTAGAGTCCCTGAGGAGGGTGCTGACAGCCACTCAAAAGGCCAGGAGTTCACTCACAGGTCACGATGCAGTCTGCTGAAGAAAAATAGATGAATTGTGCTGTCTGACTAAAATGTTACGACTTTGTCAATAAAATGTGATGAAGATGTCAGTCTTTCTGACAACATAACTCCAGGGAAGCATTTCAGCTGAGAGGGTGGACTCTAGAGAAATGTGTTTAAAATGAGGTCTGAGTGGCCACCGCTGAGGCAGCCTGGGTATCAGGTGTGTCTGAGATGTGAGGCCCGTGTTCCTGGAGATCTGGATTGTCTCTGATAAAATTCTCCTACATTTGACCTTTGAATTTTTATACTTTTTTAACTACAAAAGTGTCACATCTCTTCTTTTCACTGTTAAATCTTTTGTAATAATGTCCCACATTACATGAATCTCCCCCATTAATTGCATTGTGCTCCAAATGCTACCAAAACATAGCTTCTTCTAACTCATAAGACAAGAATCACAAAATACAGATGATGTTGTTAAGAATGCTTCAGCAGTGACCTGATGAAATTAAACTCTAAAATAAAGGAATACTCCAGCAATTTAGTAGTGTCATTCAAGAGACTAATTAGAAAGAGAATAGTCAAAATTGGTTGGTATATGGTTTGTAACTTTGGATTTCTGTTATAGAGAAATTATCTCCAGTTCCAAGTTGAAGTACATGCATACATTCATCATCATGGTTATTTTTTCACAAAGCTCATCAAAACTGATTGAGATGAAGAACTAACAAAACTGGTTATTGACAAAATATTCACTTTAAAATCATGATATTGATTTCAACTATGTACAGTATATCAGCTACTGTATGTGTTACCACTTGTATGTGCTGCTGCATACATCCATGAGTACATGCATGTGAGTGTGTGTATACATATGGCCACTAGATGGAAGAAATGCAACTTACAGTCCATCAGTGAAGTGTCTCCAGTTGTGTACGTGGGTGTTTGTGTCCTACAGAACTCGTCATCACTGTCACTCCAACAAAGCTTGTCCTGTGATGTCCCAGATAAAATAAAAAGTCATGATAGGAACAGCACAGCTCAGAAAAAAACCCAAACACAGCAAACTTTTTTCTCATTTTAGTGTCACTCTCCTTCCACCTTTTTGTCCCTTGCCTTTTCCTCTGTCTGATCTGCACACATACCACACACACATACACACACACACACAGATGTAAGACTGAGAGGCAGGGAGAGCATTCATTACTTAGGGTGATGGCACACATTCAAACTGCCATAGGTGAAATCCTCTTCAGAAGTCAGTGAGCTCAACAGCTGCCCATGGCTGATATGACTGTGTGTGTGTGTGTGTGTGTGAGAGAGAGAGAGTTTTGCCTGGGCCTTTGAGAGAAGCACTCTCGGTGACGACTTACAGAGAGACAGAATGAGGACATCACAGGTGAGTGAATTTGCTCAAACTGACAAGTGTACAGGCACACACGTACACACACATGCTGTCTCACACACATGCAATCATGTCTCTGATCAGTTTCTGTTTCTCCCACACACAAATAACCAAGGCTTCTTCTCTGCTCTGCAGCACTGTCTATTCAATACCTGACAGGGCGCCCTATGGTGTGTACATGCACATATGTTGGTGTGTTCATGTGTGTTCATGTGTCAGGGAACCAGCAAAATGAATGACTGGTTCACTTACATACACTTACAGTAGCAAAAAAGAAAGTGAACCATTTGGAATTACCTGTTTTTCTAAATGATTAGGTTATAAAATGTGACCTGATCTAAGCCACAAGTATAAACAAAAACAATATGCTTAAGTTAATATCACACAAATGATTGGACCATTCTTCCTCACAGAGCTTCCTCTCTGAGCTCAGTCCACAGCATCTCTGCTGGGCTCTGACTGGGTCACTGCAAATGGCAGCTTTTATTGTTTTGAAGCCATTTTGTAATGGATTTACTTCACTGGTTAGGATCACTGTCCTGCTTCATCAACCAACCTCTACTGAGCTTCATCTGGCAGACAGCTACCCTGACATTATCCTGTAGCATTCCTTGATAAGCTTGGAAACTCATTTTCTCCTCTACAATGACAAGCGGTCTAGACCCAGAGGCAGCAAATCAGCTGCAAATCATGGTGCTCCTTCATCATACTTTACTACTTTCATCAGTCCACAAAACATTTAGAGAACAGTGGTGTTGTTGACTATCAAGGTGCTCTTTGTCAAACCTGGCAACTCTTTGCAGCTTGGCCATTGTTTCAGGGAAAATGAATTTCCAAGTTTATCAAGAAATCCTCTTGCCTGCATGCTGCTGTCTCCCCCTGTAGGTTTCCAGTGTTGGCCTCCAGCTCAGTGGAGGGGAAGCCCATCCATGCCACTGGCCTGCTGCCTATCCTCCAGAGGGCTTCTGTCTTTGCTGGCAAATATCCTAGCTGTCTCCCAGAAGAGGTGTGTGCATGTATTTAATTTAATGTATTTATTTCTTTTTAACACAGTAGCATGGTTTGCCAAATTGTTGACTGTGATGTAAAATAGAAAAGATGTGTAGCCCAAAGCATGCAAAAATTCTGGTATGGTCCTTCTATATTAATTATTTAACCTTGTATAACTATCAAGTATAACAATTTTAACACAGAAATGTCTACACTGAAATGCAGTCAACACACCACATTTTGGTCTCTCTTGATCAAACATGCTAGTTGTTATGTGGGTGTGTATTTAGGAGGAATGTGCAGGCAGACATAATGAAAACTGTCAGACAATCTTGTCTGCATCTGTTCATAAAGCAGTCTTTTACATAATGAGGTAAAAAAGAGTAATGAATCAACACCATATAATAAATACAACAAAACAATAAAAAACCTCTTCATTCACTGTGAAGTGCATGTTTGCATCATAATTATGATCAAAAATTTTATTTCATGAGCTTTTCACAAAGGTTCTTCATCACTGCTGTTGTTCTGTAGCTATTTTCAGTGATATTAATCAGCAGTGTTCAGTCACTGCCCTGTGAAAGAATTCTTGGCAAGGATCAATTTGAAACATCCTACCACTTCCTGCAGGTGTAAATGAACCATGATAAAACCCATGTCAAGCAGCAGTGAGGACGCCGCTGTGGAGAAGCTGGCTGACATTTTTTTTCCTCTGTTGCTTACCTGGAAGATGCAGCCAAATTTATGACAGCAGTGGAAATGAGAAATGAGAGGTGCTTGATTCAAGTAAATGGGGATTTGGGAGTGCTGATCTGGAGTCTTTTGTCTGCAAAAGCCTATTCTTCTTCCTTCTCTTCTCCTCCTTTTCTTTATCTCTTCAATCATCCTCTCTAATCCCTCCATAATTTTACCTTTATGATCACACATACCATGCCACTCATGATCATCCTACTCTTTACCTCCTAATGCAGCTGCTCAGTCATGTCTCTATAAAAAGAACAGAGCCCTGCACATACTGCTAGTAAATCACAAAGCCAACATA